TATATATATATATATATATATGAACATTTAAACATTATACACAAGGCAAATATATCATACAAAAACAACCAACACTTTGGGTGTGTTCTTTTGGGGGAATTTGGGGGAGATGATTTGAATGTATTTGTGTGGATTTGAGGGTAATTTTGTAGTTGTTTTTTTGAGTGGATTTGTGGATAATTGAGAGTGGATTTAGAAGTAAAGTTTATGAGAATTAGTGTAGGATTTGATTGATGTGATAGATTTTAAAAATTAGTTTAATTGGTAGAAAATGAAGATGACCAAATTGCCCCTAGTTATAAAAGTATTATAAAATGTAATTTTGTAATGTTATATTTAATTGTAAAAATGTTTATATAGAGGAAAAAATTAGAAATAATTGTTAAAATTAATGTTTAAAAATAATAAAAATTATAATGTAGTAATAATGTAGTAATAATGTAGTAATAAAAGTTATAATGTAGTAATAATGTAGTAATAATAAAAATAATAAAAGTTTAAAAATATCAGCTGCCGGAAAACGTAATTTTGAGAAAATTTCGCTTCAGGAAATGCAAATGATTTTGAATTGAATCAATTTCGAATCAGATGATGAAAATTATAGAATTTCAAAGTAAATTTCCGAAAACTAATGCTAAATTCTTTCGATTCTTTGCGTTTAGGAGCTCGAACAGTTTCGAATTTGTCGAAGATGTTGCGGTTTCCGTTCTTCAACCGGTCGAACACGGTTCATTCTGAGCACTCGCAGAAACCTTACGTTCCTCAGAGCCAGCAGAGTCTGGACCGGTCCGGTTCGCTGAATTTGTGGTAAATCCTCACCTTCCTCACGCATAATGCATGGTTCACTCTGATCCCATCTAGACTCCATCCTCCACCCTCAACCATCATCCACCTTCGTCACCTTCAGCTCTTGTCTGTCAACAACAACCTGCATCCCATCCTCTGCTACGTCCAGCCTCCACCATCATCCACCATCCTCCACCTTCCTCACCTTCATGCGGGTCTGTGAAGAAGAACAACAAGCTGCAGGCCATCCGCTGTGCATCGTCCAGGCTCCGCCATTTTCCACCTTCGTCTCCTTCATTCGGCATCTAATATTACAGGACCACCAATTTTCGAATGCTGGTAACCGGTTACTCAGTGCGTAACCGATTACGTATGGCTTCGTTTTCATCCTCTTCAGCGTAACTGGTTACACCTCCAATAACCGATTACACCACCCTCGCTTTTAACTTCCTTCATCCGTAGCCACATCTCTGCACTGTATTTTACATAACCATGGTTGTCTTCTTCCTCTTCAACCGCATGGTTCATCTTCACCCAGCCATTTCCTTCCCTTCAAAACACACCACCCTTCTTCGTCTTCAACACCGGCCCTCCACCACACACATGCCTCCAACCTGCAAGAACGTTTAAAACTCTTCACACCTCACCATTACCTGATATGAACTCCTCCTCTCCTTGCACAGAACTTCAGCTCATCCTCATACAGCACACTTTTTGGTTCATGTCACTTCAGCAAGCATATGCCAAACGTGGGTAATATTTTATGTTATTATGTATACGGTATTATGGAAATGAGGCAGGGCAAATGTGTAAATGGGTAAGAATCCGCGCAAATCATCTCAATTATACGAAGATCGTTGAAACCATGCCATCCCGCAAATCCGTCCATTTCCGTCTTCGACAATCACTTGAAACGAACACGCTCACCTCTGTCCATCGTCGCTCGCAAATCACTGTGAACAGTGAATTCCTCTCATGCGAACAGAGCCTTTATGCATGACAATACTTTGACTAGACTGTCCGGACTTAGAATGAATGCTGAGTTATGGCGGGTTGTGCACTTATGGTGGTTTCTACTGCTTTTCAAAGTCATTGTCAATGAGTTTCACTCTACTACACTCACAAGGTTAGTCTGTTCCACGCCTTGGATCATACTAGAAGCACCCAAGACTAAGACCTCTTACTAATCTCACCACATGTGTCAATCTTCTCTACTTGAGAATGAAAGACCATTAGAGTGTTAGGATAACCTCCAAGACTGAGTTCCCTACATTCATACTAATGATTCTTAAAACCAACACCAAGAAGTTCCACCTTGGCACTAACCTTCATAACTTTGAATCCACTTGATAATTTATACACATTTTCTTTCACTTTTACATAGTATACCAATACACGAAACTACTGACCATACATTAAATAACTAGAAACACCCTTACAAGTCATCAAAAATCACACAGTAGCACAAATTTTCTTCACAGCTGCTTGATACCCACACTAGGCAAGGAAAAATGGCTTGGACACCCTCACCAACAACTCCGAAAGGATAAAAACCCCTAAAAACAACCTAAAGAACGTCCGAAACTGATATCTGAAACCACGAATTTGAGATCCTGAAACCTAAAACCCAATAACTAGTGCAATAACACTCAGGGGGGCACCGAGGGGGCACTTGGGCGCTGCATCAGCTTCTAAAATTCACCTATTTTGACTTTGGTAACCATCTACACAAGTTTAAATTGTTCCTATAACCTCTTAGGCATTAAGAGACATCTAAAAACAAGCCTCTAACTCAAAATGACCACTCCAAGCCAAAAACTACCCATTCTTGACTACCTAAACCCAATTCTACCATTCCATACACCAAAACAAAAAACTAAAGGCCTAGACAAGTTCTTATTGACTCAATTACAGACCCTAAACTTCCCAAACCTGTCCCAACACTTTACTATAGACCTTCACTACCCAAACCTCACGTTTACACTAAAAATCACTCAAACACCAACCATGAACCACCGTATTTAGTTCCAAAACAGCGTCTACCCAAACCATGCTTCTAACAACCTTTAATTGTTCTCATAACAGACTTTGAATATTAGTTTTCTTACACTAATACTTAATTCACCAACTCACTTAGTAAACCCCCTCCCCTTTTTAGCTTTAAAACTCATGACTTGGTTTCTTATTACTCCAAACACATTTCAACCAATTATAAACATCCAAGATACATATAAAACACCTAATTCACATCAGTAATTACATCACGACTGTATCAAATCAGAATTCACCCAATCAAACAACTAAAACTCTACCAAATTGAACTAAGAAAGTATAAACATTTTAAACATATAATTCAACCATTTTGATATACATGCAAGTACTAAAATTAAATAACAAACACTAATTAAAATTGAACATCTATCTTCCCTCACCTTACACCGACGCTAGCGAGTTTTAAGAATGCACCCCTTTTTGCTTCCCGCATAAGAAACTCTAAACATTAGGAAAAGAGACAAAAAGACGCATGCGACAAGAATCACTGGGCGGAAAATAAATTTAGGGACGAAAGAGAAACATGAGTCGAAACTTATTTGCTTTATTTTAGAAATTTATCGGGTAGAAATATATGGTCGTTTAGGTATCATTTGATTGTCAAAGAGATGACTCAGATGTTAGAACTCTTAGACAGAAGGTAAAGAACTCTAGAAAAGTGGTTTCTAGATAAATGGTATGTTTTAAAAAAATAAAATTCGTTTATAACAAAAATATTTATAAATAAATAATTTAATATTAAAATAATCGAGTCCTATTACTTTTAAAATATAATCACTTTCAAAGTACCATTTTTTTTAGTTTTACAGTTTTTTCCTAATTTATATTAGTATTTTTAACTGCTAATAAATTTTTTCCTTTATAACAACAAACAAGCTATTTTTTTTTACAAATTATTTTTAACAAATGGAATTCTAATGGTTATTTTAAGGTTTAAACCCTCATTTGGTCCTCGTATTTGTGTGCCAATCTCAAGTGGGTCCTCGTTTTTTTTTTCGGTCTCAATCGGGTCCATAAACTTGTAAAAATGAACTAATTAAGCCCTCTCAGTTAAGTTTTCATTGACACCGTCTAACTGTGATGGCGTGGTGCACACATATGTATACATCTTATATGACGTTGAATTTTTTATTTAACTTGTTATTAAGTCTTGTACAACTATATTATTTAATGGTTCAGATTAGGAATTTCTTCAGATTAAGATATTAGGGTTCGCATTCTGCCATGGTTGCAATGGATTGTGGCTTTGATTCTGTACTTTCATTGATGGCCTCCAAATGAAATATCCTCGACCTTGCGTTCGAAGTAGATCCTCCACATGGCCATGAAGAGGTGGAGAAGTGTGCGGCCCTTGGCGAAGAAGACCTGAAAATCGTGATCCTTGACGAAGGAGACCATGAAGAGGAGGAAGCCAATGGCGACGAGGAGAAGGCCGGAGAAGGAATTAGAAGTCTTGATGAGGAGCTGATCGTGGGGCGTCGATCCCAAGAGCTTGGTGGAAGTTTGGACTCTGTGGCCGAACATGTAGACCTTCTTCATGTAGAACATCATCAGTGCCCCGCACGTGACCGCTATGAGCGAGTGCAGGATGCAGATCACCATGAACGCCGACGACGATGATGCCATTCACACTCTCTCACTCTCACTTCTTCTTCATCTTTCAAATCATCCTAACTTCACCTTTATTCTTCTCATCCAAACAATGGCTTAATTAAACTATTAATTATTTAGGGCAAAAGATTCTACTGTTGTGACGTAAGTGGGAGACCTACTAAGATAAGGATCCACTGGGAGCCTCTATTACTCCACTCTCAAGTCAGGATAATAATCAATGTTCTGCTGGTTTTATTTATAAATTCTTAAGAAAAATTAGATTCTATAGTGGTAGCTCCATCTATCCTACAACTTGTACTTCTGCATTATGACCTCAAAAATTTCAGAAGAATATCCACACCTTGCATCCAAGGTTTATGTTTTTGAAATAAGAGAGTTGAATGGGTTTTATGCTTGGTTTTCCTTGTTTTTGAAGGTTTTAAGATGAATTGGATGAAAGAAGTGAAGTAGGAAGAAGTTGGAATCAAAAAAGAGGTGAAAAGTGCACAAAAAGATAAGACACGAGTACCGCTCAGTGGAAATTACCGCTGAGCAGTGTTCTTTATGGGCCTTGGGCCATTTTTTTTGTAATGTTTAGAATAATATATAAGGTTTTAGTCGACCTAGGTCAGTCATCTTTGGCTGGAACGAAGCATAATACACTTTCTTCACCCCTTGGAGGAGGATTTTGGATGCTCAAGCTCCACTCTTCAAATTCTAGGGTTCTATCTTTCATTTTTTCATTATTTTTCATCTAGTTTCACTATGATTATGGTGAACTAAACCTTTATTGTTGTTGGGGAGCCATTGTAATCCTTTGAAGCTCTCATGTATTGAATTGATTCTTTATAATATATGCTTTCTTTCATTAATTGTTAGGGTTTTTCTTCTATACTCTATGCATGCTTTGTTTAACTCATCCAATTGCATGGTCATTGATGTTATTTGTATGGACACATATAGATATATCTAGACATGAAGAAATTCTCCCAATAGTAGTATTACCTAGACATAGGAATATGATGGTTGGTTGCCTTTAAGCTTCTGTGTGAATGTAATGCATGGATAATTGCTAGGGAGACAAGACATTGTAAACTAGTGATTAGGAGTAAGCTTTCTTCACCAAGACATTGAGTTTAAGGTAATTTAGAAAGTGACATTAACATTAATGAAGAAAGATGAATTCTTGAATAAATGAGAGTAGATAGGATGAATTGGTAAACCCCAACAACATAATCATTCATATTATTCATCAACCGTTTTTGCATTGTTCAAGTCCATTAATCAAAACCTTGCATTCATGTTTATTTTTCATAGTTCAACAACAATATTTTCGGTTACAAGTCTAAGATAATCAACAAATCACATAACTGTTTAGGCCGTGAGTCCTTTGGGAAACAATACTTGGTCTTACCATTTTTATTACTTGATACGATTCGGTTACACTTGTCGAGGGTTAACACTCCTCCATCCAAATGAACTTCAACACAAGTCTTGGCTTCTCTATTGCCTTCACAACCACTCCAAGCTTCTATTAATCACCAAAAATAAATTAAATATAAATAAGAGATTTTTTTTTCTAATTCTAAAAGAGGTGGATAAATGAGAGAAATTGAAAGCATTATTTGAATGTTTGGGAGCGAAAAGTGAGAAGAGAACCTTGGATTAGAGAGTTGGAGGGGCTTCTTCTTGGGCAACGACAGTTTCCACGGCGGAAGCGGCGAGGGTTAAGTGTGTGGTGGTTGGAGGAGGGCGGTGGGATTGGTGCAAGGTTTTTGGCCAAGGGCTATGAGGTGACGTTTGGACCCATCAATGAAAGTACAGAATCAAAGCCCCAATCCATTGCAACCATGGCAGAAAGCAAACCCTAATCTCTTAATATGAAGAAATTCTAATCTGAACCATTAAATAATATAACATAAAAGATGTATACATATGTGTGCACCACGTCATCACAATTAGACGGCGTCAATGAAAACTTAACGGAGATGGCTTAATTGGCTTATTTTTACAAGTTTATGGACCCCATTGAGACTGAAAAAAAAAACGAGGACCTAGTTGATTGACTTTATCTTTGTTGTTAGTTTTGATTCTACTTTAGTTGCATGATAGGGATTGAATGTATGAGTGATCTGAGAACTTACATGTATGGAGTGAGTGAGAGGCATGAGTATAAAACACCTAGGGCAAGCTAGGAAGAAGGAGAATAAGTCACGCAAGTGCCGCTCAGCGGAAAACACCGCTTAGCGGTATCACTGCATACTTGGGTTTTTAGGTTTACCCTTAGCGGGACCCGATCCCATTAGGGTATTTTTATATTCCAGGGTGCAGGTTGGTTATATTTTCAGATTTCCCTCTTCTCACACACTCCTAAACACTTTTCCAAGAGTTCTCTACACCTTTCCCTTAATTCCTCTTTACAAAATCTCTCTTCCACTCACTTTCTCACTAGTTTTCCATCTAAGTTTAGGGTTGGGAGAGAGCATCATTAGTGGGGCTGAGTTTTTCAAATCACTAGAGCATTTTCTACTCATCAAGCATTTCCACCCAAGTAAGTTAAGCATTTTTCATTCTAGGGTTCTTGAAAAGCATGAATATGATTGTTGAAGCATGATTCTTTAGGGATTTTGATTTCTATGCATGAATTGATGAATTAATTGATGTTTGAACCGATTGAAATGCTTGATTTTGGTCTGGAAATATAAAAATTGCATGTGGGTGGAGTTAGGAAGTGTCAAAAGAGCATTTTCAAAAATCTGCAGAATCGTCGGTCAGGGGAAATTTTCGCTGAGCGCGACTCTGACAGACTTGATATTTTGGCTGTTTTTCTTGCTAGATTGGTGCACTGGTTGCGCTGAGGGGTGCTTTTGACTCCCAATTGTGGTTTAACATGGATTTGGGGTGTTGTTTATGGTTTACTAATGATTAACAACATGTTTTGTGGTTTTGTAATTTGTGTTTGATGTAGGGATGACATCCTTTTCAGGCAAAAGATTGAATACCACAACCTCCAAGAGGAAAGACAAGGAACCTGAACAACCTCATTCCAGTAGGTTCCTATCTCGCAAATATGAGAAGCATTTTAAGGTTATGCAAGATAGGAGACTCCTGATGGAGAGGAAAGTTGGAATGATACCTAACTTTGTTCCTTAGTTTGGAGAGCAACTGATGGGAAGAAACTGGAGGAGATTAGCCACCTACCCTGCACCAGCCAATATAGTAGTGGTAAAGGAATTTTACACCAATGCAAGGAGGATAGGTGATTATCCAGCTGAGGAGTACCTAAGCTATGTGAGAGGCTACGCTATTAGGTATGATCCTACCTCTATCAATAGGTTTTTGGGTACTGAATGGGTTGGAGAGCAGTGCTAGTTTGCTCTCTGTATGGAGGAAGGCATTGATTTTAATGATGTGGAGAGTGTGATGAGTCAATATTTTCTTGACTTCACCTAGTTTATTGTGCTAGAATTAATTAGGGAATTGTGCTTAAATGTCCGATATTTTTTCGTTTTTGCTAATTGTGCCTAATTTGACCAGAAATTCTTATTTTAATTAATTTGAATTATCTGAGTTAATTATTTTCATCATTGATTGCAGTAAAAATTTTGGAGATACATTTTGGGACATCAAGAAGAATGCAATTAAATTCAAGACTCTCCACACAGACATTTTAGAATTAATTAAATTGTAATTCAGTAGTTTAGAATTTTTGAATCAACTCTTACATTTTGGGTCAATTTTTGGTAAACTAGATTAGACCCAAAAGTAGAGATGAGTGACTTGGACCCTAGGGTTTTTCTTTTGTGTGGACCCACCCTCATTAAAGGGGAGACACACGGCCTTTAGGTTAGCCGCCACTTGCCACACGCTCTCGGTCTTTGGAGTTTTGGGGGGGGTGGAGACTACTGTAGTTGAGGAACTTTTTCTTAGGGGCTGAACGTTGTTTTTGAATTGAAGGAATGGAATGAATTTTTATCATCTTTGTTGAATTCTCATTGCCGCTTCCATTTGGTTACAACACTTTGATTGAATGTTCTTTTTGTCTTTTAATTCCAATATGCTGACGGGTTGGTGATGATGGGATGAAGGGCCTGCTTTCACACGGAGATTGGTTGGGTTTTGGGAGAGACACGCTCAGCTTGCTGCACCCAGTTGGAGCTACCACGTCCTTAGAGGGAGTTACGTGTCCAGGGGCTCTCGGTTGAAGGAAAAAAAATGGTTGTTGAATAGGGAGAGCTCCAGCCGCCACGCGTTATGAGAAGCACCTCTTGGAACATTGAGAAGCAACAACAGCATGTAGGGATTGTGACGTGGAGCACAATTAGAAGTTATTTCATTTAGTAAAAGGGATTTGTCCAGCAGTGACTTTGGTTTTTCTTGAGCAATTTTATTAAATGAAAAAGAAGAAGCACACGGAAAGGGGGGCTGATTGCATTGGGCATTTAATTTCATGTTTAGTTGATGAAGCTTGAGGAGGTCTCGGTCATCACTGCCACGTCCATGAGCAGCACACAAGCGTCACAACCTTAAAGCAGCGTGAATGTGGTGTGCACGGCCCGGAAGAAATCCTCCACGCTGGCAGCTTTTATTTTTTTTAACGCAGATTTCATTTTTTTTCTTTCTTTAGAAGCATTCGGTGACTTGTGAGGGGCTGGGGGTTGTTCCAGCAACACGCTGGATGTGTTACGTCCTGTGATGAATTTAATTTTAGGGAAGCACTTTCATTTTATTATGTTGAGCAGCTGACACGTCCTCGCTGGAGGAGAAGAAGATATCCAGAATTATTAGGTGAATTCTTGTGGAGGCTTACGTCCAACTGCAAGCATTGAAGGAACGTGCATTTCATTAGGTGGAGGTGTCACGGCTGGAATGGTGAGCACATTGCTGCAGCCAATTGTTTGAGAATGAAGAGGTGATTAGATGGGGGTAGGTGTACTTGTACAGTGGTTAAGTTGAGAGGAGAAGTTTAATTCATTGCTTGGGAAAGCACCGTCTTGGTTGCTGGAAGAAAGAGAATGTCTCCCTTTAATTCTTATTCCATTTGAGG